ACACTGGTAGGGTTTCTTAGGTCAGGTCAGCGGTTTCTCAGTGTGTACCAGATGAACTAGTTAGTTTTTGTGAAAATATCAGATTGTACAAAAGTTGTATTATCTCTAAATCCTGTTTTTACCACTGACCTTGGTGAGATGCTAACAAGTGAAGATGGAGCTGAAGGGAGACGTCTTCCATCTCAGTCTCACTCCCAGGTCCTGGTCTCCCGTCTCAGACTCCAAACACAATGGCTCCTTTTCTTTTCAGGCAGAACTCTCAGCGTTAAATTTCAGTTCGATGCAGCAGCACTAACGTCTGACTCAGAGTGACTGTGTAGGGCAGAGTAGAATGTCCCCGTGGAGTTTCCAAAGCTGCCATCCGCATGGAAACCTACTGCCTCATCTTTCTCCTGTGGCAAGACTGGTGGATGTGAAGGACCAGCCTTTGAGTTAGCATCTTTGGGTTTGGTGTACAGCTACTGTAATTATTCTAAAGCTACAGATTGAAGATGGGAAAGGAAAAAGGAAAAGAATAATCTGACCCACTTGGCAATTCCCCCACCCTCCTTTAAAATTGATTTGCCAGAGTTCCCTCCACATGGTTGATTAATTAGCATAAAAACCTCCTTAGTCAAGTCATTGAAAGCCGCGTCTGGTTATCATTTACAGTATATTCATAAATCTCTTATATAAGCACCATTCTTGGCTCCTCTCCCTCTCAGCTATCCGAATCCTCTATCATCTCTCTCTATTTGACCCTTCCGTGAGTTGGCTACTCATTGTCCCTCCTGTGGGTTCTTCCTCAAAGCTGAAACTCTGCCCCTCCCTCCTGCTCTCCTCCCAGCCAGCAGCGGCCAGAGCCCTCTTTCTCATCCTTCCGCGGCTTTCCAGTAACCTCAACTTAACATCTAAACTCTGTAACAGACCTCTGGAGGCCTTTCATGAGTTGGCCTTTACTTCTCCAGCCTCATACTTAAACATTCCACCCTGCCCCTGCCCCTTCCGCAACCACCCCACCACATTTTATTTTATTATTTTATTTTTTTTACCACCCCACCACATTTTAAAACTCTGACGATACTGAATGTTTGCAGTTGGCTCCATTTCCTTCTCTGCCCTCTGGCATTTGCTCATGGTTCCCCATTGCATGGTGATCTCTTCCCTTCTGCTGACCCTCTCTTCTCCTCCACCGAGTTCTTCCACTCTCCCTCTCAGTTGCTATATCAGAATCTTTTTTTTTAAACCCATTATTTAAGTAAACAGACAATTCTTATAACAGAAGGTGGTAAATTCTGTGGAGGCTGCAGACAGGGTTCTATAGGAGTCATTTAATCCTTGGGTATTATGACAAAGGCATAACTAAATTATAGCTAAATAAACCTTTTAAATAGTTATATCCATTCTGTAACTATATTTTTATTTAAAGATTCCCATTTTGATCAACAATTAGGTAGATAATTTATTTTTCATCTTATAGATAATGCTGTTAGTGAATACATTTTCCCAGACCTTATTACAGAATAGATCAGATCGTCCCTGGGGTATGAATAGGTTCCATTCCTCACTGTATGTTTAAGATAATTTGTAGATCCATCTGAATGATTCTTATTTAGCCTTTTCAGTGATGTAAAAGCTATACATGAAGTGGAGGTGAGTGTAATGAAGAATTTGTTGCTGCAGGGTTTGGTTCCAGGAGCCATGGTGGCACAGTGGATTGAGCATTGCTAACCCCAGAGTTGGCAGTTCAAACCTACCAGTCACCCTTCAGAAGAAAGATGAGGCTGTAAAGATTTATATTCTCAGAAACCTTATGGAGCAGTTCTCCGTCCTGTAGAGCTATTATGAATTAGAATCAACTTGAGAGTAGTGAGTGAGTGTGAGTGAAGGGTTGATTCAATTGTTTCCAAGTGAGGGCAAATTCAAATAACATTAAAGGGCAAGTACAAGTAGGAGCCAAGGTGGCATGGTGGGCTGTGCATTGAGCTGCTAACCAGAAGGTTGGCGGTTCTAACCTCCCAGGAGAAAGATGATGCTGACTACTCCTGTAAAGATCTCTCAAAAACCCAAAGGGGCAGTTCTACTCTGTCCTACAGGATCACTGTAAGTCAGAATCAACTAGATGGCAGTGTGGTTTGTTTTGTTTTCACGAGGATGGGCATAGGACAAGACAACATCTTGTTATCTGTAGGCATTATATGTAAACTGGATGTCTATAACCCAGGGACTGGCTGTACTAATGCCTATACTAAAATTGGGATCGCTGGATCATTGATAATGCCCTTTTTTGTTTGTTAACTTAAAAAGATATGAGTGTAGCAGTTTCTCGGAATGTCAACTATAGAGTTACCATATGAGCCAACAATTCCATGCCTAGAATTAGTAGAAATACTCCTACCCAAGAGAAATGAAGAAATATGTCCGTATGATTTACATATGAATGCTCATAACAGTATTATTTTTAATAGCCAGATAATACAAATAACTTAAATGTCCTTCATCTGCTGGATCAACAACCAAGATGTGCTATAGCCATACGCTAGAATATTATTCAGAGGAGTCTAACATGGATAAACCTCAAAAACATTATGCTAAATGAAAGAAGTTAAGTCACAGATGATCACATGTTATATGGTTCCATACACAAAACGTCTAGAAGAGGCATATCTCCAGAGACAGGAAAGTCAACTCATGGTATCTAGGGCTTGGGGCTGAGTGGTGGGGAAGAGGGGGTGTTTTGGGGAATGGGAAGGGATTGCTGATGAAGGGAGGGTTTCTTTTGGGAATGTGTTGGAACTTTTTTGAAATTAGTTTGTGGTGTTGGTTGTACAATTCTGACACTAAAAGCCTCCGAAAATTGTCCTCCTAAAATGGGGAAATTTATGGTACCATAGTTCTATCTCGATTAAAAATTTGCCACATTGCCATTCAAAAAGACACTCACGGACAGAAATTATAGTAATCACTGGAGCAAGTCTCCTCTGAATGTGAGTTTTTCGTCACTGTAAACTGAAACTTAGTACTCCAAAAGCAATACCTCATTCTTCGTCTCACTACTGGAAACCACAAATAAATTTGATACTTATAAAAAAAACACACACACAAAAGACCAAAAAGACTTTGGATGGTTGGTTGCAACCAATAGAAACAGATTTGAATGGAGATAAGTAGAAGGAAATTACTAAAAGCACACCAAGTGGATTAGATGCTTCTTTTTCTCTGGACTGTCGTTCCACCCAAACAAAAATCTCTGCTCTCCTGCCTGGTCCGGAGCTGGGCTGTGGGTGTTTTGTGCCCTGAGCTGGAGGGGGCTGGTGGTCTAAATGCATCTTCTCAGCCCCCTGTCTCCCTCCCACTCTCTGTCTGTTCTCTCCTGCAATTCTCCCTAGGCAACAGGACAAACTGGCTTCTTCTTGTGAGCACAGGAAGCTGCAGCCTTTTCCACATATGTTAGTTACTAATTCTTCCATCTGCCTTTCCTGCTCAGAATCGTTGAAATCTCTTGTCTGCTGATAACCCATATGTTGTTGTAGATTTATAGTTTTTAAAATTACTCATCCTCATAAAAGCTCAAGAAAGATTTTTTTTAACTTTCATCAGCTGTGGGTCTTATTTAAGATTTTTTTCTTTATTAGTTTTTGTGTTTATCTTTGTTAAATTCTTCTAATTATTACATTCTTAAAAGTAAGCATTTAGGTAACTGCATCTTTATTTTTTCCCTTCACAAACACCCTCCTGAAATGAAAAGTAAGAAAAAAAAATAATGGTGGCAGGGCTAGAAAACTGTCAGTGTATCATTTAACATCTAGACTAATCACTCTCATAAAAACTAGAAAACCTGGAATTGTGTCTTATGATTTAATATGTTAGTTTTTAGAAAAACATTCTGTTACATTCTAAGCATTTCAGAGTGACTTTTTAGATGTGACTATTGTTAATAATAATCACAGCTAGTATTTGTTACTATAGGCACTATGCTATGTATAAGGAATCCTGGTGGTACCTGCTAGCCATCAGCCACTCTTCCGGAGGAAAATAAGTCGGTTTATTCTCATCAAGATTTACAGTCTTAAAAACCCTATGACTCTGAATCAACGTGGTGACCCTGGTTTGTTTTTTTTTTGTTGTTGTTGTTCTATGATATGTATGGGTTGTTTATGCAGTATGCTTAATCTTTTGTCATAACTGTGAAATAGGCCTGTGATCACGCTGCCATTGAGTCAGTCGATCCTGGCTCTTCTTGACCCTGTAAGGCAGAGCAGAACTGCCCCTGTGGGTTTCCGAGACTGTAACTCTTGAGGGGGTGTAGAAAGCTTCCTCTTTCTACCACAGAGCAGCTGGTGGTTTCAGACTTTTGACCTTGAGGTGAGCAGCTCAATATGTAACTTACAATGATACCAAGGCTCCAATTTTTAAATCACTGATAGGGAAACGTAGAGAAAGGACCACATGCATGAGGAGAGACCATGTAAGTGGGCAAAGCAACTCGGGAGCGGAGAGTGCAATTTACGGGACATTTACATTGTATTAGATATTATGGGTAGTCTAGAGATTATTTGAAGCATATGAGATGATATAGGAAAATACTAAGCCGTTTTATATACAGGACTGGGACTAGAAGCTAGGTCCCCACCCACCCACCCACCCACATAGCTGTGAAGTGGTGGAGCTGAGATTCAAATTTAGGTTGTGTGACTCCAGAACTGAGGATCTTAACTGCAATATTCTATGGCATTTATAGAATATTTATGGCTGCATTGTTGGTCACATTGTATTTTGAAATTATTTCGGACTCAGTGTAATTGCAAGAACAGAACCAAGAAATCTCATAAACCCTTCACCCAGGTTCCCTGAATGTTAACATTTGCTATACCTTCCCTCCCCCCATTTCCTTCCCTTCCCCTATAGACACACACAGGCATGCACATTTTTTAGCTGAAGCGTTAAGAGTAAGTTGCAGTCATGTTGCCTCAATACCTTGATCCAAATAAGGCAGTCCCCAGGAATAAATGAGGTCCATTCCTATCAGACCAGGTGCATATGGTTCTTATCTGGTGGTGTAGTGGGTTATGCATGGCCAGCTAACTGCAAGGTCAGCAGTTTGAAACTACCCGCAACTCCATAGGAACAAGATGAGGCAGTCTGGTCCTATAAAGATTTACAGTCTCAGAAATCCTAGGGAGCACCACTTTGCCCTGTACAGTCGCTATGAATAGGAATCGACTGTGGGTTTGGATGATGGTCTCTAGAGCCCTGTGGCACAGTAGTTTCTAACTTGGCTGCTAACAGAAAGTTTGGTGCTATGAACCCACCAGCAGCTTCATAGGTGAGAAGACCTGCTTCCTTAAAGATTAGCGCCCTGGAATCCCCGTAGGACACGTTGACTTTGTCATATCAGGTCGCTATGAGTCATAATCGATTCAGTGACATGCAGTGACCACAATAGTCTATGACATAGTTCTCTACTGGAAAACAAATCACTGTTTTATACTTCTATCATTTAATACGTATTTTAGCAAGAGACCATTTAATATTCTCTCTGTAAATATCCTGTTCATCATCCATCTTGCTGTTTCATGACCTCTTTAGCATCCATTGGTGATTCTTACCTCTGTGGTTCCCAAATGCTGGTTTTTTTCCTAATGTCATCCATTTTGTTTTATACCCTTTACTTGTTTGTTTTAATATGAACACATTGATTCCTGCTTTATTCAGTGAAAAATCAAGCTCTGGTATATTATATTGTACTCATTTCTAAGGGGATGACACTGATTCTAGGCCTTCTCTATGGACACAGCTAAGATACATATGTATGCTTATTAATTAATGCATATGTAATTATGGCATATGAATTGTCTATAACCTTCACACATAAACTTATGTACTTATTTCCATATCTAACTATAATGACATAAAACAGTAAGTTTACAGTGACACCTCTGTTCTACTCTAATGGTGTGGGGCTTATTTTGCTCTTGTTTTCCGTATTTATTCCTTGCTTCTCCACCTGTGATAAATCTGACTCTGATTCTTGGTATATTTACATACTTGCTCAGTGTCCCTGTAGATAACCAAGTTCCTGGCCACAGGGATCTTCTTTTTGACCCTGACTCCCCACAGACTTTGACCTTGCAGTCCCCAGCTGACTTGACCCTGGCCTCCATAGCTATTTGTAAGTAATGCTGAACTATGTTTTCTTTTTCCTCCCTTGATGATCCAGGTCTTCCAAGATTTGCCAGCCAGCCAGAACACTCGTCTGCGTATGTGGGGAACAGTGCGATTCTGAATTGTGAAGTGAACGCAGACTTGGTCACATTTGTGAGGTGGGAACAGAACAGACTGCCCCTTCTTCTGGATGAAAGAGTGATCAAGCTCCCAAGCGGCACGCTGGTCATCAGCAATGTGACTGAAGGAGATGGGGGGCTTTATCGCTGCGTAGTTGAAAGCGGTGGGCCGCCCAAGTATAGTGACGAAGCCGAATTGAAAGTTCTTCCAGGTATGAATTCACTATTAGGATGAATGTTTTCAGATTTATGTATGGCTGCAAATTGCCCTTCAGACGTGTTTGAATAAGCCCTGTTAGTATGTGCCGTGGCAAGCTATTGCAGCATAAGGCGGGCCCCAGTTCTTAAGGGGGTAAACAGAAAACATACCAAAAGAATTCCATTTTTAATGAATCCTTGAATCAGTACAACTCTATCAAGCAGTAAAGTGCATTCATTGTCTAAGGGCACGTTGTCCTTGGGCCAAGGAACACTAGCACTGTGTCTTTTGTCAAGCTCCTGCCTACTTTCGTAATTCCCAAATGTGGTGCCTGCTAAAGTTAGGTCCTTTTACTGGCAAAAATCAGTAATCAGGCTCAGGCTGGTTCTTATGACGTGAATCGGATGCTAACAGTGTAATAGGGTGGCTTAGAGATGCTGGCAAACAAGGGTTCTTAGAGTTTTATAGTGCTCTCCCATTTGAATGTAAACTCAGCTCCTCCCTAAGTCCCCACTGAATTTCCTCATAACCCATCTTTTCTCCTCTTCAAAACTCCTGCTTACTCAGAACTGCCCCTCATTAACGGCTCATCATAGTCCCTCTACCCTCTTGCTGTTTCATGGCCTCGAAGCCTCTGTTCGCACAGCCAGCTGCTTGATGCCTGTCGTCTGTCCACTTCCAATCTGAGCTTATGGATCTAATGGGCTAGCCATATCTTGTTTGGACAGTTTTTATATCTATATGACTGCTTCACAGGCTCATTTTTCAGCCTGAGAATGGATCTGTAAAATGACACCCATGTTCAGAGCTACAACTATCACGGTTGCTCCTGATGGGCCATGAGGTGATTTTTTTTTTAATGTAACTTCTTTTCTTTGTCCTTATTATCTCTGCCCTTTGTGTTCTCCAGCCGCAGTCACATCATTTTTAAAAACGTCTGTTTGCTCATTCGGTACTCCTTAATGGTTTCTCATCTCAGACCAAATGGCAAAGTCTTTGACCAGCACTGCTTTCTGTAATTAGGATAGTACCTCCACCCCCCAGTCCCCCGCTCCACCTCTTCCCTCCCTTACTTTGAGCATGGCCACCGTGTGTGCCTAGAAGTAGGAACTCTGGTGATATAGTCGTTATGGGCTGGACTGCTAACCACACTGTCTGCAGTTCGAAACCACCAAGTTCCTGGGGAGAGAGATGGGTCTTTCTAGCTTTGGAAACTTACAGTTCTACCCTGTGCTATAGGGGCACTGTGGTAGTGACTTTGATTTTGTTATATTTCTGAAAGACTCCAAACATGCCCTCTCTCTTTAGGAGCTTTGCACTTTTGGTTTCTACTGCTGGTATCCTCTCCCTCATATTTCTGCCTGACTCATTCTCTCACTTTTATCAGAGAAGGCTTCTTTGACCACTCTGCATCAGACAACTATTTCGTCTCTGCCGTCAGTGCTTTACAACCTACTGCTACACCATACACCTGTATCTTTTATTGGTTGACCCTCCATTCTAGAGGACCCTCCATTGAGGGCGTGGAATTTTGTCTGCTATTTTAAAAAAAAACAGTGCCTAGCACATAAATATCTGTTAGAGTTTTGTTAAATTAATTCTATTCAAGGTCATGGGTTTTCTGGGCTTGCTCTGGGATGTTAGTTCTCCGGGAAGTAATGTAAGATTTTAAAAAGGAGAGTACTATTTACATAGACCACTGCATCTCCCAACCTGCTTCCAGACTTTATTATCACATCGCAAAAGGTCGTATTTCTTCCCAGCCTCTGAAGGAGGCTTCAGGCAAATCCTTAAAACCTGATCCAAGAAAGCAAGGTGTCAAAGAATAAGATCATTACTCACTGTGTGAAGCCAAAATCAGTGCTGTGCATCCTAAGGAAAGGAGAGCCCCGCCAGCCAAGCATAGTTGTCCTGAGTAAGACAAACTGCAGATCTCCTTTATTTTGAGTTGTATTAGCTAAGAAAGTGGTTTGATATCAGTCTTAGAAGCATGTTTTGTGGTTGGTTATAGACCCGGGACCAGATTCATGTCATCTTTGGAAGCAAGTCACTCTGCTGCTGATTGGCTGACTCGTACAGCCTCAGACAGTCACTGATTGGCTGACTTCCATAAGCTTGTCCACGGAAGCTAGTCACCACTGATTCATTAGTGTGTTTACTTGTTACCATGAATACAGAACTGTCATTTATCCGTTAGACAAGTTTAAAACCAGTTCTAGTGGTTGTTACCCTGCCCCCAGAATATCTTTTTCTAGGAGTATAGGGACAGGAGTCACATCTGTCTGCCTGAGAACTGTCTTACCTTTTTCAAAAATCAGGACTAAAAATATCACCCCAGTAAGCTGTCTTCTCCCTGTAAGTGTGTGGCCCTTTCATATGTCCACAGACAGAGAGCTCTGTGCAGTGAGCACAAAATAATGTTCTGTACGAGATACACAGCTTGAGTGGGAGCTGGGTGGATGCTCTATTACGACATAAAAGGATTGGCAGACTATGTGTTTATGTGTGTACAAGTTAAAGCGATGACACTCAGATTTTCAGAGGTAACACTCAGCTGTGGGGGAGGGATAGAAACCTCTGCCAAGACTCCTGAACTTGTTCTGTCTGTGCTGAGCTCGTTTGTAATCACTCAGGGGCCACTTACTATCTCCTGTCTTTTAAATTTGGAGATTCATGCCAAAGTCCACTAAGCACCCTAATGGCAAGAGTTGTACCTTAGATGCCATTAAGAACCACATAGCCTAGCTTAGTGATTTGCACAGAGAAATACTGCTCATTTAAATGGAACGTTATGTCACTTTTGCTTACGATGCATTTTGTCATACAAAGCCACACAGACTGAATAGGAAGTAATGTTTCCTCATCCTTAAAGTAAGGAGCCCTGGTAGCACAGTGGGTTAAGTCTTGGGCTGCTCACCAAGGGGTTGACAGTTCGAACTCACCAGCAGCTCTGAAGGAGAAAGATGAATCCGTCTACTTGGGTAAAGGTTTACAGGGTCGGAAACCCAGAGTCACTGTGATGGAAGCGACTCAGCAGGCTCACATCATTAAAGTCTTAAAGAGCTTTCATAATAATTGTCTTTTATTTAACACACATTTCCCCCCTAGATCCCGAGGTACCCTCAAGCTTGGCGTTTTTGAAACCACCGTCTTCCTTAGTCAGAGTCATTGGTCAGAGTGCAGTGTTGCCTTGTGTTGCTTCGGGACTTCCTGCTCCAACCATTAGGTGGATGAAAAATGAAGAGGCACTTGACACCGAAAGGTAAATGTTGCTGCCTGAAAGCCTTTCCAAGCTTATCTTGAGATTGGGTCTAATCTTATTTGGGACTACCGATTAAGAACGAGTGATTACTTTGTTTTATTTTTGGTTAAACGCATAATAATATGTCATATGTCATCCTTGAAATACATTTATATGCTCTGTCTGGTTAGGATGTATCAAGAAAACGTACTTTCAAAATATTAAGGGATAATGCTTTCCATTTGTTCTTTCTGAAGCTATAGTTTACTTACTAGTTTAGAGCTGTCGGCTAGCTTTCCTTAAATTGCTATAAAAGCTTCCGGTCCTGACTGGCCTGTGTCTTCTGACTCATTCTGTTGAGGGTAGTTTTTCCTTTGCTCATAGTACAAGAAAATGTGTTCCTTATCCTTTTGTCTTATAAGAGCCTACCAGCCTTGTGCTGTCATTACATGTTTGTTCTCTTCCACAAAAGTCTTCTCCGTTAACTTCAACCACCCTGCCATCCCTTTCAAAAACCGCCTTCATCTCTTGAAGGACTAGGTACATTTCCCCCCGTTGTTTTCTGATAAGAGAACCGGGTAGTGGTGATGGTTAATGGACTGTATTTTGTTTATAAAGTTAAATCTACAACGTATAACTTGACACTTTAGACTAACGCGTGCTTTCTCAAGCTTTGACACCGTGGGCTAGATCCTTCTTCATTGTGGGAGTGCTCTCCTGTACATTCTAGGATGTGTATAGATCGCACGCCTCGCCTCAATCATGAGCTGTGTCAGTCGCACCCCTAGTGGTGACGATCAAAAATGTCTCTGGATGTTACTAGATGTCCTTGGGTAGGCAAAAGCACTCCCAATTAAGACTACTTGTTTAGAACACTGCTGTCCAATAGTAATAGCTACTGTAATAGAATGTAAGCCCCATATGTAATTTTGCTGTACAGAGGGTCTCCGTGAATCAGAATGGTTTTTTGAGATATCTTTGTTTCTGTTAGAACATTATAGAGATATGTAGATGGAACTTAATCAGTTAATTTAGATCATAATTAGAAAGAGGTATAGAAATTGAAAAAGAGGGAAAGTAGTTAGAAGTCTAGATAGGCTGAGTCTAGTAAAATATCTTAAATAAGATACTAATATCTTACATAAATATCTTGCTTCTATTGCTAATTGTGTTAGTCTGGATACTTTAGAGAAACAAATCCATAGAAACTCATGTATAAAAGAGAGTTTTTATAAAGGGTAAGTGCACATCAAGAAAACATCCCAACCCAGTGCTGCCCAAGCCCACAAGTCCAACATTAACCCATATGTCTGACACCAACCCACAAAGTCCTCCTCATCTCACAAAACACACATTATGATGCCGACTGCAGGAGGAAAGCCGAATCAATGAATGTGTAAGCATCACAGCACTGGCAGGGGTCTCCACATGGCTGCTCCAGCACCCAGGGCTGTATCGGGGTAGGTCACGGGACTTCTCCTCAGGGATGTCTTGCAGGAAGTGAGCCTTGCCAGCTGAAGCAGGGAACTGGCTAAGGCAGCTGCACCCTGATCCGACCATCACAAAGCAAGAGACCCAAAAACTAGAAAAACTAGGCTCACAGAGCCATTTATCTCTCCGCCCTTCAATTAACCCCACATGTGTTTATCAGCCAAGTCTGCACAATAAACTAACTCACTAATCCTAAGACCACTTTGGCAGTATTTCAGAACATTTTTCTGGCTTTTATAAATACCTAAGAATTAATATATGTATTTAATATATCAAATTTTTTGAGGTCCAACCAAACATGGCTTATTAAATCCAAGACAATGCTGGAAATGGATCCCACTTACTATGTGACTCTATTTTAAAGGGCGAGAATTTTCAGAAAACATAACTTTTACTCTGCCAGGTGACTTAAAGAAAATTGTAATTTAGTAATCAAATGATGTTATTTTTTTAGGGGAATAATAGTAATTGGGTCCAAATGCAAAGGGACAAGTTGTAAAAATGCCTGATGTTATACAATTGACAGTAACATGTAAATTATTTTGGAAAAACAAAGAGAGGATTTCCACTTTGGGGATGATAGAGTAGATACATTTTCCCCTTTCACTAAATATAACTATACCCCTAGGCATTATTTACATAAGATGACTGAGAGGTCAAGAGATGAAGCCAGTATTGGCTAGACACCCTGGCACCCAAGGGACAACATGATAGTGAATTCCTTAAGTCATATTTTTGCCTCATTATGGTGAAATGCGTTATTTTATGTGACCTTTTGCCTTGGTTCGCTAGAAAAACAGCTTGAGCAATTTTTACTCTAAGCTCCGAGGAGTTTCCCTAGTTTCCTACCCCAGAGGGCTTGTTAAGTTTTGTCTAGGTTGATTGACACTTCCTGGGCAAGCTGTAAACAATTTGGTTTGGGATATTTTTCTAAGGCTGCAGCCTGCCTTGTGATTGGTCACCTTGTAGAGATTGGTCAATAAGACTGCAAATGAGGTGAGTTGTAACCTGTGCAAATGAAGTGTAAGGCTTACCGAGAAAGGGATAGATCAGTTTGTGGCCCTGGTGAGAATACTTTGCTTTGAAATTGACCAACCAAGGAGTTTTGTGTGTTTTAACAGTAGGTTTATGAGATGCATCATTTTGATGCATTTTGATTTCCTCAAAAAAAGAGCTTTAGGGACCTGTGAAACAATATCAAAAGATGATTTGTATCATCAAACCCCTGAAAGGAAGGAAATAGGGCAGACAGAATTCTCAAAGAAATAAATGCCACACATTTCTTTTTTCACTGGAGAATGGGTGTAATGTATTTTTGCATGCTTTATCATTTATAAAACTTTGAAATCGAGCCATTTGGAAAAGGATAAATGAGAAAATTCATACTGCAATATACTATAGTCAGACTTCAGAAAACGAAATGCACTGCCATAGAATCAATTCTGACTCATAACAATTCTATGACAGGGTAGAACTGCCCCATGGGTTTCTAAAATGGTAACTCTATAGGTAGAAAGCCTCATCTTTCCTCCACAGAGTGACTGATAGTTTGGAACTACTGACCTTGAGGTTAGCAGCCCAGTGTGTTTCCACTACACCACCAGGTGTCTTCTGAGAAAACCAAAGACCAGAAAAATTTTTTTTCTTTAGCTAATGGGACTGGAGCAATTTCCCTTGTTATTTGAAGCCCGTATATACTCGTGTATAATCTGAGTTTTTCAGCACATTTTTTTGTTGTTTTTTTTTTTGAATCATTTTATTGGGGGCTCATATAATGCTTATCACAATCCATACGTACATCCGTTGTGTGAAGCACGTTTGCACGTGTTGCCATCATCATTCTCAAAACATCTGCTTTCCACTTGAGCCCCTGGCATCAGCTCCTCATTTTTCCCCTCCCTCACCGTCCCCCCTCCCTTATGAACCCTTGATAATTTACAAGTTATTATTATTTTGTCATATCCTACACTGTCCAATGGTCTCCTTTCACCCACTTTTCTGTTGTCCGACCTCCAGAGAGGAGGTTATGTAGAACCTTGTCATTGGTTCCCCTTTTCTACCCCACCCTCCCTCCACTCTCCCAGTATCGCCACTCTCACCAGTGGTCCTGAGGGATCATCTATCCTGTATTCCCTGTGCTTCCAGTTCTCATCTGTACCAGTGTACATCCTCCGGTCCAACTGGGTTTGTAAGGCAGAATTGGGATCATGATAGTTGGGGGAAGGAAGCTTTTAAGAACTAGAGGAAAGTTTTATGTTTCATCGTTGCTGTACTGCACCCTGA